TAACACCAGTGGCTTCATGTCTGGAAGATCTATATGCCAAGAGATACAGCGGAATCCAACGATCTCAATCCTTTTGATTTTTATCAATGAACTTCGCCAAATAGTTTAGAATCGTCTGATGTTGACGTTCCACTTGACCATCCGACTGAGGATGCAGAGCAGATGTTCTCGTTTTCTTAATTCCGAGTAATTGTGACAATTCCCGAAAAATCCTAGATTCGAAATTTCTTCCCTGATCTGTATGGACTTCTAACGGTCTCGAGATAACCTGACTCAAGAAGATGTCTGCAATGGTCTTTGCCCTGATATTCCTTAAAGGGAATCCCTCTACCCACTTAGTGAAGCAATCAACGACAACTAATAAATACTTATTCCCTGAAAGAGTTACCGGCAATGGACCAAGTATATCCATTTGAACTCTCTCAAATGGAACTCCAACGTTGTAAATTTGAAGCCGAGATTTTCCTTTCCCTGTCGGGTCCCTACGTGCTACGCAGATTTCGCACGTTCTACACCAATCCTCCACATCTTGTTTAATAAAATCTCTTGCGAATCTTCTCCAGAGTTTTATTAACTCCAAAGTGTCCTCCCGACAAAGAATCATGGATTTCCCTTAATATTTCCTGAACTCGCTTCTTAGGGACGATTAGTTGAGCAACAGTGCTTTTCAAATTTGGAGCCTTCCACATTTTATAAGGTGCACCATCCTTGATTTCTAAGGAATCCCAATAGGACCAGTATACTTTGGCGGACGTTTCTTTAGACGCAACCTCCTGCCAAGATGGTCGGATCCCAGTCTCCTTCCCTTGAAAAATAATGGAAATGCCAGGATCCTCTAATTGTTCCTGAGAAGGTTCTAGGTTTTCTTCCGACAAAACTATCCTTGCAACCGCATTTTCTATTTTTGAAGCCTCCTTAATTTCTATCCTTGCACAATTCTGACACTTCACATTTGTACAAGGGCGTCTGGATAACCCATCAGCGTTCTTATGCAAGACGCCTTTCCGGTAAATTATCTGAAAGTCATACTGTTGAAGCCTCTCCATCCAGCGTGCCAACTAGCCTTCCAACTCCTTGAAAGACATTAACCATTTAAGCAACATATGATCAGTCCGTATTAAAAATTTCCGACCATACAAATAGTGATGAAACGATTTAACCGAATCAACTATTGACAAAAGTTCGCGTCGCGTAACGCGATAATTCCTCTCGGCTTTATTTAAAACACGGCTGAAATAGGAAATAACTTTTTCTCTTCCATCTTGTCTTTGCGACAAGACTGCACCGATTCCAAAATTTGATGCATCTGCATCAAGAATGAATGCAGATCCTCCCCCTCCTCGGTAGGAAAAGAAAGAATTGGTGAGGAGGTAAGAGTTTGTTTCAAACTGTTGAAACTGCTCTCACATTACTCATCCCAAACGAATTTCGTTTGATTCTCTGTAAGAACATACAGAGGTTTTGCCAATAACGAAAATCCCTTCACAAATTTACGATAATAAGAGCATAATCCCAAAAAGCTCCGCAAATGTTTTTTATACCGCGGTATTGGCCACTCTTTTATAGCAATCATTTTATTATTGTCTGTGGAAATCCCTGCAGCAGAAATTGAGTGTCCCAAGTACTTTACTTCTTGACCAAAAAAAGTACACTCTTTTTAGGATTAATTTTAAAATTTACTTCCCGTTCAAATACATTAAATTTAATGTAATATCATGAAATTAAATTCAAATTAAATTCAATTATGTAACTAAAAGTTAATGAAATTTAAGAACATTTCTAACAGTGTACTAAACAACTTTTTGACAGAAACCCTTGTAAAACCTGCTCCATCACTCGCTCAAATGTGGCTGGGGCGTTACACAAACCGAAGGGCATCACTTTAAATTGCCACAGTCCGTTTCCGATAGAGAATACCGTCTTTTCTCTATCCTCTGGCCGAATTTTAATTTGCCAGTACCCGTTTTTTAAATCTAATGTAGAATACCTGCGAGTTGATCGAAGATGTCGTCTATTCTGGGCAAGGGATAAGAATCTTTAGTAGTAACATCATTTAGCTTACGATAATCAATACAAAATCTTATCGTCCCATCCTTTTTCCTCACTAACACAGCTGGAGACATCCAAGGACTTATTGATTCCTCAATTACACCTTGATTTCTCATGTCCTCAATAATTTTATTACTTCCTCATATTAATAGGAATTCGACGAAGAACTGCTTAATGGGGAGAGAATCTTTTATATTAATTACATGTTCCCCAATCTCACAATTCCCAGCAACAATTTCCTCAGCAAATATTTCACGAAATTCAATAAAAAACTTTGCAAAGAGTTCTTTTTGGGATTGATTTAAATGTTTAGAATCCTTTTCAAACAAAGATCTCAAATTCGATGGAATATTAAAAGACTCTTCCACTCGATAACATTGAATATTATTCTTCTTTTTGACCATGAAAAATGGACTCAAAGATATTTCCCAAATTAATCTTTTCAAGAAAATCTACACCAAGTATACAATCATCATTAATTTTTGCAACCAACATTGGAATCTCTATTAAATAATTCCCAAGTCGAACTGTTGTATGCATTTTATAATCAATTGCAACTTTCTCGCCCGTGGGATATTTCAAATTACAATTATTTATCTTAACTTTGAAATCATCCGATCCCACCAAATCATCATTTAAAATAGAAATATCAGAGCCAGTGTCTATTCTAAAGTTACAACGCTTATTATTTACCTCCCCTTCGAAACAGAAATTCATTGAATTATATTTAAATCTATTTATCCTGAAATAATATTGATTAGTGATAAGATTACATTGATTATCAAAATTATCAGAATATTGCTTATTTACACAATAAATATTTCTCGGGGTTCTCTCCATCTCAGTCGAACTTACCCCGCAGAGCTCGACTATCCTTGTTTACCGAACTGCCTGAACATTCCGATCGGAAATGCCCCTCTTTATCACACTCCCAGCACTCCTTTCCACTTCCATTTCCTCTCTTAAAAATTCTTCCTTTTTCAAATTTTGTAAATTCATTTTTATTAAATTTTCTTTCTTTTTCTTTATTATTTTGATTTACTTCCCCCTTGTCAGAATTGCCAAAATTCTTTTCTTTCCTTTTCCCAAAATTAAAATTATTCTCTTTCTTATGTTGAAAACTATTTTCCTGTATTAATTTAATTGCTTTTGCCCTTTCGATCGCAATTCTCAACGATGTCGATCCTTCTAACTGAAGCGCTCTCTTCACAAATCCGTCGGATAAAGTGGAGATAAATTGCGCGCACGCGATCTTATCGCGTATTAAATCAGAACATTCCCGATATGCTAACTGAGAAAGTCTTTCGATATCCGAGCCGAAAGAAGCAATACTCTCTCCAAATTTCTGCTTACGATTTGTGAATTGAGAATAATAATTTTGTAACGATTGCGCTTCCCCAAAACGTAACTCTAATCGTGATTTTAATTCTGAAAAATCTAAATTTTCCAGGTTTGTATGCCTTCCAACACCGCACGCGCTTTTCCTCTCAAGCAAGATGCTAAAACGGCAGCTTTCGTCTCCATTTCCCAACGATTTGCACGAGCAAATCAAATTGAGCAAGGAATTCCCTGAGAGGAGCACTTCCGTCAAATGTGTCCGGCTTTAATTTGACGCTTGTTTCCCCACGAAACGAATCACGGAATTCCACACGCTCACACGTATTCATATCACTCCCGTCGCCCGCAGGAAGTCGTGTAATATTACGCGAGGCACACGATTCAAAGCGCTCTTGAGCGTTCGTGCCATTTCCGCAGCCCGCAGAAAAACGCGTCACTTCGCGATCGCGCGCGTTTGCGGTATAGTTTCCGTTATTGGAAGGACTTATCTGAGCATCTCCGCTGCGAAGTCCTTCTCATAACCGCTGGATCTCAGCGTCGCTCTGTCGCAGCGACTCCATGCAATCTGTCAGCGTACGCTGATGCTCCTCACGCATTTACTGCATCTCGACGTTACGTTGTCGTGTAGACTCTGCGAATTCGGCTCGTGCGTGCCGTTGTTCCACCCGCAGTTGTTGTACCTCTCATAACACGGCCTGAAGAGCCATCATCGTAGGTGACACTTCCTGCGACATCACAGTCGACACCACAGGAGATTGCTCCGAAGCAATGATTCTCCTTTTTCGAGCGGTTGTTTCCTGCACGGCACGCATCGAATGTTCAAGCGGACGAGCCCCCAAAATGTTACGTCCGCGGCGTCCGAGTCGTAGAGTCGCCTTCGCGAATGCGTTCACGCACTCCCGGCTCGCGGGAAATAAACAACACGAGGATGTAAGAAAGGAACAAGAAGCGTTTATTGTACAGCGCAGGATACACTCACGTCACGCTCGGAGCACACGATCGAGAATATCGTTGACAGAACGAGAGACACGTCCGAGCGCAGCGACGGCTCACGTCCAAATCCGCCGATCTTGTTTATCAACAATCATACGTGTCGCTGGGCAACGCGACCTTCCGCACTTTGCGAGTGGCGATCTACGGTGTCGGCCCAGCACGGGCGTAACAATATATATATATATATATCGTGGGCCATTTTACGGGACCCACCCAAATTTCTCCGTCGGTAAGGCAGATACAGAAAAATAGTTCAGACAAAACTTGTTCAGAACAATGTGAGTCATCTTTCTAATTGTTATTGATATTGTTTTTTAATACCATTTCTGACGTAAAATTTCCTGCTCTCTTCGAATCCGGTGTCAAAAGTAGGTAGTCCCATCTAAAAAAATCATTCTGACCTCCAAATGACCTTGGAAATTGACCTCAAGGTCAACTTCATTAAATTAAAAAGATGACCCCCATTGTCCTAAACAAGTTTTGTCTGAACTATTTTTCTGTATCTGCCTTACCGACGGAGAAATTTGGGTGGGTCCCGTAAAATGGCCCACCATGTATATACACATATATATACATATATTGTATACAAACACACATTAAATTTTTGTATCTGATTATAGTTCCTACGGAAGCGGCAGTATTCTTACAAGAACATTTAAATAATTGGTACTCTTTGAAAGCTTATTATAGCGTAAAAGTATTAACGGATCTCCCGATTCAAGTATGTTTATCAATGCAGCGTTATAGTTTTATAATTATTACTTGTTTTAAAAATAAAGTTTGGATCAAAAGTAAATGTAACTAAACATTATTTTGCTTTATTAAGTCAATTAAAGATTTGATTAAATTTTATAGATACTTTCTGCTTCGTGTTTCCTGTTTATATCTTACTATATGACAGGACAGCCAATGGAATATGAAAGAATTTTAAAGATATGGGGCATTTGCCTATTAATTACGATTCTTGGACAAACGAGTGGGATATTTGCAGGCGTGGTTTTTGGCACTGAGGTATTTTACTGATATATTTTTTTTGTATTTAATATTTATATATATACACTGTTAAAAAAGTTACAAGGAAAAAACTACATACGAAAGAAATGGCTATGGTTGGCCGGTTGCCACGGTCGAAAGCCGCCCATCAATACATTTTTGGTTATAAGAACTACATAACAAGGAAAGGGACGCAACCGTCTCCCTCCGATTTTAATGAGCTTTTAGTATGTTATTCTCCAGACAAAAATAAGCGACATGTATTTTTTTATACGTGCCCATACTTACTTTTAAGGGGTGAAACACCCTTTAGAAGAAAATTGGTTTTTCTCTTTCGAAGCGGATATCGTCGAAACTGTAAGAGACAGAAAAAAATGTTTGAAAAATAAAAGTTGCATGGTTTCAAGAGCACTTTATAATACAAAAGTAAAAAATAAAAAAAATTTTTTTGTTTGTTTGTCCCCAACATTTAATTTTTTTTTAATTTTTATTTTTTTTATGATAAAAAGAAAGATTATTTTAAGACGAATACAACCATGTGTGATAAAGTTATTTTCCAAAGTACCATTTTTGAGAAATAATTAAAAACACCTTTATACGCGCGCCATCCGTACTCCTTCACGCAGCACGTTCGTGATGTTGCGTATTTTCGCATAAACAGGAAGCAACGACGTAGTCACATCTATTTTTGGAACTCTGCGGACATCTAGTCATAGAAATTTTTATCACGCACGGCTGAATAGCACTTGCGTAACGTCTGGATGATAATATGTAGTGTCAAGATCGAAAGTCGTGTATTATGTAATTGTAAGACGAAAAGTGCAGTGTACGTTGCACTTATATAAATTACATTTACTGTTTGACAATACAAACTGAATTAAAAAATATCTTGTAAAATCGTATTTCTTTATTTAAAGTAAAGGAGGGGAATCGAAGAAAATTGGAATTGACGTAAATAATCGATGATATGATTGAGTGCATTCCGTTCACGCATCATATGCATCATTTATCTCTTATCTGTTATATATGAAATAATAAATAAAGGAAAAAATAAATAATACTGTTATGCCCGTGCCGTTTCGGTTTGTCAAGCAATGATATAAATGTTATCGCTTTGGGGGCATTGATTTTATTAGTAGAACGTTAGTGGAATAGTGTATTTGCAGTATCTATTAATCACAATTAGGCGATATGGACGTTCCTTGTACTGCTTGTGACAAGCCTCATCAGCTAAAAGTATGTTATTATTTATTATTAATAATATTTATAATTGCATCAAATAACATGAGATAAGGCTTCACAAATCTTAAAACAAAATGTAGAAAATCATTATGAGCTAACACAGTAAAGAGTGCATTAGTTGTGTAATTGAATATTATATAATTTAATACATATAAAAATGTTATCCTATATGTTTCGAACTACTCGATTTAAATACATGCGCATTAATGCTTATTATTTATTGTGCAATTACAAAATAAATTGAGATATTATTAATTACGTTGATTCGTATAGGCCTTTTGTATCTTCTAATTTATGTCAGAAATTTTTATTACTTTATTTTATCTTTTGTGCGCATAGTTCCCTCTTCTATGTGAAGAATATAAAAAGAAACGTCCGATTGCTGTAGTGCGACCATACAAGGGAGAAAATACAAATGTTGAAACAGTGAATAGAAATAGTGGCAGAGATGAATTACGAGAGTTACTTGATCGGGTAATGCAAAGAAAAAAAGCAGCTCAAAACAATCAATTTCAACGAATTATTGGGCGAGGACGTGGTCCAGTTTTAGAAAGAAACGAATAGGACATAAAGATATAAATTTTTATTGTCAAAATAATAAATAAAGGAGATATTAAAATAGCATATATAAAAATGTAATTCATTTATACCGCTACTTTAGTAATACATAAGTATATACATAGATTTTTTATTTAATTATTTTTTAAAAGAAATTTGGAGACAGAGCAATAGGAGTCGGACGCGATAGTCGTTGCGCAAATAATATACAGGTATAACACAAAACTCTTTATTACAATAACGCACTTACATGTTTCGATTCATTTTTGAGCCCTCTTCAGAGACATAAATCACCTTTATTAGATACAATATAATTATTTTTTATTACATCAAAGCCTTTGTTATTAGTTTTCAAAAATCATGTTACGACATTGTATAATAATATAATTATATATAATAACGTGACATGAAAAAATAAATTAGTAACAATTAATTTTATGGTTCAAATTTATAACAAACGTGATGATTGTGAAAAAAATGTTGTATGCAAAGAGATTTCTTGCACTATGCGCAAGTAATTATAGCAATACCACCAAACATCGCATGTTGCTTTAGAACGTTTTTGAAACAAAAATCTACAGGAGTTTTAAATTCTTCTGATTTAATATCTATATAACCGCTTTTGTGCCAGGCATATTTAAATAAATTTCAAAATCTTGGCGAAGAAAATTGAAAATGTATTAACGATTGCAATTTTAAAATAGAATCTCTCGAATGAAGTTTAACTTCCAAATCTAAAATCATGACAATATCTGAAAAATGTTTTATAAAATTCTTCCATAAAAGGAAACCGTACACATCTAACGGTTGTCTTTGATTTCTCTGCTGGTATAGTTAGAAGAACAAAATCTTGTACGGATACAGGTCTATTTCTTGCAACTACATCAGGGCAATGACCAGTCCATGAATCCAGTAATAAAGCCGATTTAGGACCAATTGTTTGGAAAAAAAACTTCTCTTAACTAAATTTCAAAATGATGCAATGTTAATTTACCAGATTTGGAAGTTAAAACATAAATATTATTTTGTCTAAATATTGTTTCTGTTGGCAGACCTGCCGACAATAGCGATCCGCATGTAAAAGGGAGCGCGGGCAGCGCCCTCGTTCGTTCACCTTCGGTTACTACTCGATACAATGTTCACGCGTACAACTCGTTTCGGTATCTCTCGTAACTGTACTGGAATAAATAAAACGTCTTCCTTTTTTTCTTGTGAATCTGAGTCGAATACGCGTAACTTTCGTTCCCTACCTCTAACAGGTTATGGGCCCAGACGTCAGACGTTCGAGAGTCGCGTAATCGGCGATAGTTCGGTATATACGTACAAATACGTACTTTGTCGCAGTTTATTCCCGGTGTGCGCGGAAAAGCCGATGAAACGGGACGATCACACCAATTGACCCCCGGTGCGTGCACGAGAGATAGAGTGAGCGCAGTCGACAAGCACAACAAAAACTGCGTACGCCGAAGTGTACGAATACAAGGAGAGTACACGAGACAATTTCAGTGCCTGGCTCGCGCGCGGGAAGCCATATTGGGCAGGCGTCGTGGGACATTTTTCTCTCTCTCACTCGTTCGTTATACGTTAATCACGATGAACGCGAACAGCATAGTGCGTATCGAGGCGCTCGGGCGCGACAATTATGATACGTGGAAGCTGCAGATTCGTGCACTATTAACGAAGAACGATGCTTGGGGATACGTCAGCGGAGAGATAGTGAAGCCCGAGATTACGGCCGGCAACGCGGCGTCTGAAGCAGCGGCCCGAGAATGGACCAATAAGGACGAAAAGGCAAAATCCGATCTGATTTTATCTATAAGTGCACATCAGCTAAAGCAGGTAAAGAACTGCGTAACATCACGCGAGTTATGGCTCAAATTACAATGTACGTTTGAATCGAGCGGACCGGCACGCAAAGCAACATTACTAAAGGGCTTAACGTTACAGAGAATGAACGAGGCAGGCGATGTGCGTGAGCATCTCCACGAATTTTTTGATACGGTTGACAAGTTATCCGACATGGATGTCCACATAAATCCAGATCAGCTTGGGATCATGATGCTTTATAGCTTACCTTCAAGCTTCGAAAATTTCAGATGCGCCATAGAGAGTCGCGATCAACTATCCACGCCCGAAAATCTGCGTAACAAGATAATCGAGGAACACGACGCGAGGAAAGCAGCCGCGTCGAATCCGATACAAGGAGTCATGATCGCGGATAAGAGGAGACCAAGGCAAAAGAGACGTGTGGAAAAGAATGACCACGAAAAGGACAAAAAGTTCGAATATAAGTGCTTTAAGTGTCATGAAAAGGGACATAAAGCCTCGGAATGTACGTCAAAGACCACCGGAGATAAGAAGCCTACAAACGTATCCCTATATTCCACCGATGACAGAGGAAATGAATGTCAGATGGCGACAGTCACAGGAGAGAACCTTTCTTGGTGCCTAGATAGCGGGTGAACTTCCCATCTCTGCAAGGACATTAGCACGTTTACAGAGGTCGACAAGAACGAATCGGGAAAGATAAACCTGGCGAGCAATGCATTTGCGGAAATCAAGGCAAAAGGCATCGTCGAAATTGTGACGAGTGTAAACGGCAAACGAAGCGACGTTATCTTGAATGATACACTTCACGTACCAGAGCTTCGCACCAATCTGCTTTCGGTTTCTGCTTTAGGATCACAGATAAGGGCTACAAAGTAGTGTTCAATGATCGTGAGGCCGTAATCGTCAATAAGCAGGGACACAGGAAGCTAATTGCAAAACGCATCAACAACCTTTACTATGTACAAGGAACATTACCAGAAAGTTACCAGAACGCAGAGCGCAAGAGTGAACGTAAAGATACCGCAGCAGAGCCGAGAGATCTCTCGATGATCTGACACCGGCGAATGGGTCATCTAAACCTTCAAGATCTTCGCAATGCTTCGAGGAACGGAACCATCCGTGGAATTGAGATGAGCGACAAGAGCAAAAGATTCAATTTCCGAAGGAATCGAACCGAAAAACAGCGACGCTGAATATAATCCATATGGACGTATGCGGTCCCATGTGAACATCGTCAAACGGCGGCTCGTTTTACTTTATCGTTTTCATCGACGACAGCACAAGGTGGACGGAAGTAAGGTTCATCAAGAATAAGAGTCAAGCACTCGATGAGTTTAAGAGCCTTAAGGCGCTCATCGAAAATCATCATGACACAAGGATAAAGTCAA